ATAGAACGAGAAAAAAATTTCGGCATGTGCAAAAAGAATAAAGGCTACAAAAAATAGTCGGGAACCCGGAAACATTCGAAGGATCTAAAACTTGGCATATGTGTCGTTCCAAAAAATATGAAAAGCACATAACTGTCGATTCATGAGTTTTGCACAATTTTCCTCCTAAAATTTGGGTTTCAATCTATTTAAAGATATTTGGAAATGAAACGAGACTTTTCAAAGACGCCACACCGAAGAGGTTAGTGTAACCGAGAAGAAAAAAAACATGTCTCTAAGAATGAGACCGCAAGGAAGTTTTTCCATGCAAATGGTGAGATGGTAGGTACAAAGAAAAGAAGAGATGAAGCATCTATGTGGAGAATGAAGAATAATGAGAAACTATTCTTTCCTTGATGACTAGGAGTGAAGAGAAACGGTAAACGGTTGGGAATGGAAGATAGAGGTCGACCGAAATTTGTAAAAGAAAAAATCCTAATAGTGCAGTAGAAGAAATGAAGCAAAAACAGGTTGAAGTCTGTAGATTTAGTATATCAGTCGAAAATGAGTATCAAGCGTTTTGTTCTTCGATGGCCACAGACAAATCTCTCTGGTTTTCCCTTTAGGTTAGTTACCATTATGGATAAGAACAAAAACTGCCAGATCAAGACTGACAATAAAGAAAATGAGAAGTTTCGAAAAATTGAGATTATCACACGCGCCGAAATCAACGAGCACATATTTGAGTGCCACAAAACCATAGGACTACGAAAGGCGTGATGCCCTCTCCTGTTCAGCTGAATCTCGATTGACAAGTGGAGCCATATGAAAAAGCCAAAAAAGCGGTGAGATCAATTTACTGGACTGATAGTGAAGCCAGAGATATAAATCACGGGTTCTGTTTTAGTTACCTATAAGGTAGGTGACAGACATTGGGACCAATCGAGGGGTACGAGCCACGCTCTGGCGATTAGTTGCTGGGACGTAGTTGGAATCGCTGCACGTGGAATGAAAACCGCAAGACATTATTGTTGCAAAGGAAGCATGCCAAGCAAATTTTTCATTTTGAGCTTGATCAAAACAAGTTAAATAAGCATCAGCTTCATGAATACTGAAATTACAGTCAAAGGCAAAAAATTGAAGCCTGATAGCGGAAAAAAAGTACAAAAAGTTTGACAACTTTAACTTACTTCGTCTTCATATTGTAAAAAGATGCGGAAGTTGGAGTCTTGCCGAAACACCGGATGAGCGGCAATCCTTTGCAGAAACACTTCATGCATAGCGACAGTTTTTTTGAACTGAGGCGAGATAGTCCCTAAATCTCATTTATAACTTTTGGGAAGGTATTGAGGTATATTTTTTCGGGGGAATCATTATTTCCAGAGAACTACAAATGAATCAAGAAACGCTCTAAATTCTTGACGTACTGTTCAAGCTCCTGCTTCATTTTCAGAAACTCCTCCTTTGTCATGGTCGCCTCCCCTTCACCAAGCTTCTGCAATTTCTCTCGTGACGAGTCAAAATCAGGGCGTGGAGGAGCCGGTGGGACCTTAAATACAGCTTATTACGAAGATACTGATGTGATGTCGTTCCAAAGTTCGAGCACAAAAAATTTCAAATTCGATTTTCTGCTGTGGTTTTTCAAAGTTAACCAACTAATAGCTTTAGCTCAGAAAAGAAAAGGTGAAGGTCTAATTAATTCTATCTGCTGCAATACCACGCCAGACAAATGTGCCCACTCACAATGAAACCAGCATAGCTCTCGTTCTCATCCAGCACACTGTGGAGCCAGAGAAATTCCTCATGCTCCCGAACCACCGACGTCTCAGCGCGCATGCCTTGAAGACGAGTCTTTGTGTGTACCGTGTACTTCACCTAAAAAAGTACACTACTAGCCATCAAGAAGCGGATCTTCAACCAATAAGAAAAATGTGTTACCAATTCAGTTTGAAAATTGAAAGACAAATAAATTAACTCTAAAATAAATCAGCTCTAAAAATTCGAAACTTCCAAGACATTATTTTATTTACTGTGCGCCCAGGAGACGCGCTTTAACAAGTCAAACAAGAGGGCAGTTAGAGGTAGCAGCTGTTAAGGACTTCAACGATAACTAACAAGAACATAAAAAGGAAAACAAAGTGTAAAGTATAAAATAAGATGAGGGTGATTGCTGAAGACACAAAGAACTCGAGAGTAAAGCGACTCAATCCAGAAACAAAAAGGAATGAAATGAGTTACAGTCAAGGCAGCCACATTGCGTGATGCTAAGATGAAGAATGAAGACGATGAGAGAAGACGATAAGTATGAAAAGGGAATGCTGGCATAGCACGCTGCTATCGTTTGTGTCAAGGAGTCACTTTGACGAAACTGATGTAGAAAGTCTTATAAGTTTTCGTTTTGACAACTTTTTTTTTAGGAATTTGGGATTTTTGACTATTGCCTCCTCCCTCGTTCAACGAAAGCGTCGTCACTTGTAGCTAGCTTGTTGGTGACGGAAATGAGATAGTCAGAACAATTTGTTGGACGCCATAATTGCCTTGCTTTCCAGTTTTCTCAGTAGTTTTCCTAGGGTGCTCAATCCAATAACACGCACTCTGCAAGATGGTATGATATTGTTCCCCAATGCCCTTCAATTGTAGGAACATTGATCCTGAAATGTTCCGGAGAACTTGAGAGAAATAAGATCGTAATAACTTGAACAAGTTCTGATTTAGCTCCTTTCTGATGTAAGTGAATCATTTCCTAACTCCGCCATGATGAAGGTAAGAAAAGTTATCTGCTTCAAATGAAAATTCCAAAGAGAACTTAAACGAAGCTCGTGGCTTGTTTAGCACATATGAATGGCTAGCGAAGCTATGCTTTTGTTACCTAAGCGGTAGGCAGGCTAAAAATACTAACCTTCTCTTTAGTGCTTAGGTTAGTTAAGCTGCAATTTTTGCAAACTCTGTGCAGGAAAAAAAATACGAATGACTGCTATCCGGTGAGAATGGATTAGGCTGGTGTCAGAGTCCGCGATTCGATTTGCGCGATTTCGCGATTTGCGCGATTCGCGATTTGCGCGATTTTCGCGATTTGCGCGATTTTCGCGATTTTCGCGAAACCTGCGATGGATCACAGGAGTTGGAAGTGCCCGATGAATACTGCGAGGTGTTGTTTAATCCTGCTGCGAATTCTGCTTGGCAGTAAAGATTGGAAGACGAATGTTTGTGGTTCTACTTGTTTCATGTTCAATGTCTATTAGTTCATTGAAATGCTCTTGAATCGTTCCTATTTTTTTTTTTTTTTTCAGGAATCAAACCAAACCAATCACAAAAATTGCAAGTGCCCCATTTGAACAATTGAAACACTGGATATGAAACAAGTGGAATCATGAGCAGTCTCCATTAAACCATAACCATCAAGCAGAAGTGACGGCGGGATTGGAGAACACCTTGCAGTATGGATGGGGCACTTGTAATTTCCGTGACCCGTCGCGCAAATCGCGAAAATCGCGCAAATCGCGAAAATCGCGCAAATCGCGACAATCGCGAAAATCGCGCAAATCGCGAAAATCGCGCAAATCGCGAAAATCGCGAAAATCGCGCAAATCGCGAAAATCGCGAAAATCGCGCAAAAATCGCGGACTCTGACACCAGCCTTAATTCAGATCACTTTCCGAAAGGAGACCTACAAATGATGATGGGTCAGAATAGCAGATAGAGGGTAAGCTTTTTACTTTGCAATAATCTGTCAGTAAAAAGTGGCATGGAAAAACAACTGCGATGGAAAGAAGTCACTTGTGCTTCCGCACTCAAACAATATCCATCTGAGACAAACTCTCAGAAACACACCCAAGTGCTTTTTCCGAACAGAGCAACATTCACAGGATACCCTAAGGTGTTCATTACGAAAGGAAAAAGCAAGCTTGACGACATTTTCACAGACTGGCTCATTCACTATTGTTACAAGAAGAGCTTACATAAAAAAGAAGAGAAATCTCGATGACGTCTCCAGATTACACTAAGTTAATTAAAAAGCAACCACAAGGATAATGAGTGAAATTGACCGTTGCAAACAACACAAGCATACCTTATCCCTCTCAGAGAGTGCATCGGAGATATCAACCATAATAGCATTGTCGGAATCAAGATCCACATTAATTTCTTCAGTGCGATGCTGCAACATCACAGAATGACGCTGAATAATATCACAAGACCAATCGATAATGAACTAGCTCGATTGTTAGCTGATAACATACATGTTTTTGCGTCGGCCATAAATACAATAATCGCTACCGGCACAGCGGTATTAATTTTTACCCAAAACCTTTATCAGCAAGATTGAGGTGAGTTTTGCGTA